ATGGAAAAGGAAATGTGAATAAAATATAAAGCTATTTTTATTTCACACTTCCCTCGACAAGGGGGGAAAATGTAAATTATATACTATGATGTTATCTGAGTAACATTCCAGGTAAAGAAAGATAGATAAACGAACTTACGCTTTCAAATCCAAAGATGTGATCTCCTCAATAGGAGTCAAATTTCTCTCTGACATTCCTGCAGCGTGAAGAGAGAAAACAATTGTTTTACACTCATGTATTTCACTGGAAATCCTTGAAGTGTCTAATAAGAAAAAGAAAAGCATAAAACAAATAACATCATGATAAGATGTGTATTTCATATAATACAAACTTCTGCACTTTCATACAAGAGAAACAGATAACACAACCAATAAAAGTAGGCTAGCAGCAAGCATAAGCAAAATGCGCAAATATGAATGATATTGCGCGTGAATCACACGCGCCGCCTTCCCGGGTGTTTTCTGGTCCGATTTTTGTACTGTCGGACTCCTTTTTTCAAAATAAAACCGTTTATGGTATGAAAAAAAGACATTAATGAACATAAAAAAATATTTATGCTCTTAATCTAATCAAAGTAGATTTTTTTCTCCTTTACAAACATTCATGTATATAATGTAAACATACACATGTAAAAATATACACATGATTAAAGGAAACACGAAAATATCCATCAATGGCTCTGATACCAATGTAAATCAAAGTATAAAACATGCAGCGGAATAAAATGTTTAGATCATACCTTATTTCTCTCATCTTAATCACCCATAACCCATATACCAGATATATAATATAATATTATTATCTATCCATATTAGTTAATGGAGATAATATCTATATCCAGAGTGGTTATCCTAAATAGGTTTGAATTCAATTTCAAAACCTATTTGGATAAGATTCAAATTCAAATTCAAATGATCATGCCACATGGGTGCCCATTACTAACAGCTATACTACTAAATTTCTTACCAATTGAGTCTAGAAATTGCAGACCTATTTTCAACCTTCCAAAGCACACAGCCAGATAAAAGAAATAAATAAAAAGAAGCTATGATAAAAGAAGGAAAGTACTGACCTATCTTCAGGGGCAGCTCGTTTAATGTAATTCAAGGCTCTGTCTTGATCTTGATGGTGCTTCCACACTAATTTTGCATATAACAGCAAAATTTCACCATCTTTGGGATCTGCTAATGTAGCTCGGAAGTAGTATTCCTCGGCTCCATGAAGGTCTCCCTTAGACTGTCATTAGATATTGGACTCCATTTAATAGAAGAAAACATCATCCTCACTTCTATTAAACAAAACACATGGAAGTGCAAAAGATCTTCATCTACAAGCCTAAACATGAAAATCATTTTAATGCTTCTTCCCACTGCATTACACAGTAATCTTATTAAGCAAATAGTATTCCTAGAGCTTAATGTGAATAACCACTTGTTAATCTTATTAAGCAAATACCTGTTAACCTTCATCTACAATTCATGGTCTTATCAATCCCCGAAAATGGAAATAATGAGAGGAAAGCACCATCTATCTAAATTGTTTTAAACTGTTGTTGGTGATTGGATATTTTGTATGACTTTTGCTTTTGAGGCATGATTTCAACCTATAAATAAAAAGTTGATGCTTGAAGATGAAGATGTTTTCTTCGGAAAATGTTTCTCGCCGAAACAAACAGTGCATAAAATCTAGAACATCCCTTAATTCTGAATTTGAAGTACTCTCCCAACATGGCCTATATGAGAAATAGGCAAAAGATGTTCATTCAAAGACAAGTGCGAAAAGTGATGATCCTAGAGCTCAACATTAATTCCATTAAATACATATACAATCATTGATATTCATTAAAAAATTAAATGTCTGTAACAAACTCTATTAAAATTGCAGACACAAACAAGAAAAAAAAAAACTAGAATTAATATGAAATTGAAAGAAGAACAAAAGCAACATAACTGATCAAAAATAAGTAGGATAGTAAAACAAATCAAGCTACTGTTGCTAGACTAGTGCTTGGCTCATTAAGGTCAACTAGTCATATAAAGAGACTAATTTGAACCCATTTTGAAACTTGTTATTTTTTTAACTTGGTTCGATAAAGATATATTCATTATAAAAACCAAATTATTCAAGTTTGATTAAAAACCTATCAACATTTACTCAAAGGCAAACAAACAAATAAAAAACTTCAAAAAATATTAATAATCAATTACTACTTAACTTGACACGATTCATTTATAGCCTAAAAATAACAAAGAAATAACTCACTTGCAAAAGTTGAGCATAATTCCTCAAGAACAAAGGGTTGGAAGGTTCTTCACCAACCATACTCTTGTAATACTCCTCAACACTGTCGGCACTGGCATCGGCGCGACCAATCCCAAGTCCTGTGGCAAGATACATTGGAGGACTAGCTGTTTTAACAACCTCTCCAATACCGAAATCCTGAAATTCATTCAAAACCTCTTGACCTTCTTCTTCACCATCATTGTAACGCCACACTTTTTATTACCCGAAGTCATTACCAAATTCATTTACTTAATTCAAGTTCAGAGATAACATGCGGAAATAAACTCCTTAGTCCCATGAGTAGAAATAAATAACAATTATCTCTTTCGAATGTAAATTAAATACAACATGAGCATACTGAATAAAATGCCCGAAGGCTTACATCATTAAAGAATCAGAAAGAAAGGTGTAACCCTTTTACATATATGGTATCCCGCCAACACAAAAGAGGCCCCGTGGCCAACAAATAAGAAGATCCACATCTAATAGCACCTCCTGCTTAACACTTGAAAAAGATTCAACAACGTGGAATGAACATATAGTCCAGTAGGGATCTCAACATGGCCCTCAACAATAATAACTTACGGATAGTTATGATCATGAATGCTCCATCTCATACTAGAATAATAATGTGGCAGTTTATACAAAATATACATAAGTATGAACTTTTCTCGAAAACAACAATTTCATTCAACGCTATGAGCGATTCATCTCTCTCTTCCTTTCACTACTCTTTGTTCCCAAACTTTCATAACATTAACAACTTCTTAGAAAGATCAATTATCTCTAAGCCCATTACCTTTTTCCCATTTTCCATACTTACTGTAGATTTTCCCTTTTTCAAATAAACTTTCTGATACCTAGTTTTCTTTCACACTTTCCCAAAATCTCACAATGACATTTTGGTTTGTTTCCAATACATTCATAACTATACATGTATGCCTTCAATAGAAGGGAGATAACAAATCATCAACATGTATATAATCAACAAATGAGGCAACTCGGCCCTCCAAAACTATAACCATCACAATCCATGATATACTCAGATACACTGAGACAAAAACAATAAAACCCTGCTCTACCGGCTATATGCACAATATGCCAAGGATACAACTCTCACAACGGTATACCATTTTACCAGGCGCTAGCTGGAAGGGTGTGGTACCTTAGATTCTCAGCGCAGTCAGTTCTCCAGGCGCTAGCTGGAAGGTAACGGTACCTCTGATTATAAGCGCAAGGTATAACACCAATAATCACAATACAACAGAGTATAACCAACAAGTGTAATACATACAGATAAACTATCAAAATACCTAAGCAATGTGTTAAAGTATATAAACACATAGGTATGTGTGGAGTACATCCCCTATCTCCTCCCACACACTGGAGTACATCCCCTATCTCCTCCCTAACAATTATACATATATAATGTACCATAGCACTTCATTACATAAAATGTTCAATTGACACAGATGTAATGCATATACAATAATTCAAAACAATAATGTCATCCTCCACCGATGACCAAGGACAAAACCTCTAGATGCTTGTATTCAGTACATCTATTAAAAGACTCAACTATCGTGAGATCTTAAACCCAACAACAACGCCAGACTGATAAGTAAAGGTAAAACCCCAAATGTGTGTATTCAATACTCAAGATACAATATTCCAATTCCCAAATTCATCTTCCATTTTCAAAATCGACTTGTTCCACCACTTGTTCCAAAAACATTTTTCCCATTTCACAAAACCAATATTATTCCTCTCATAACTTTCCAAATCAATTATGCAAATTAATTCATAACAGTAAATTAGGGCTTTTCTCTCTCTTTCTCAATATTGACCAAAAAGGCTCAAATACCAACAACAAACAAGAATAACCACATTTGAGACCCAAAACATATGTATTGGCCCAAATAACAAAACCTCTCTTTTAAATTATCAAATCAAATATAAATTAGGGCTTTTTCTCTTTTCAATAATCATATACTAATTTACACCCCAATTAGTCCAAACCACAATCAATGATAACAAACCCACTTTCAAACAACCAACCCTAGGTTTCCCCCTCATGATTTTCAAACAAACCCAACATAGATATGATTTTCATGCAATACAAAACTACCACATGTCTATCTATAGACGAAGTATTGAAAAAGAACAAGGAGAATCCCTATCTCAAATGGAGAACCCAAGGGGAAGAAGAGCCAAACTCGGAAGTGCTCCAATCCCAAAGTTTTTCAGATCAAAACGAAGCCCACACAACTCTATAACTTTCTTACAAATGGATGAGGGTAGAAACACAAATGGATTGGTTCGAATTGGTTCTATGATTTAAACAGATTGGATTGGTTCCAATTTTTTAAGAACTGTAGATAACGGATTGGTCCTGGTTTTATCCCAATCCGGTCCAATCCGGACCATGCTCACCCCTAATCGGCGCGACCAATCCCAAGACCTGTGGCAAGATACATTGGAGGACTAGCTGCTTTAACAACCTCTCCAATACCAAAATCCTGAAATTCATTCAAAACCTCTTCACCACCTTCTTCACCATCATTGTAACGCCCCACTTTTTTATTACCCGAAGTCATTACCAAATTCATTTACTTAATTCAAGTTCAGAGATAACATGCGGAAATAAACTCCTTAGTCCCATGAGTAGAAATAAATAACAATTATCTCTTTCAAATGTAAATTAAATACAACATGAGCATACTGAATAAAATGCCCGAAGGCTTACATCATTAAAGAATCAGGAAGAAAGGTGTAACCCTTTTACATATATGGCATCCCGCCAACACAAAAGAGGCCCCGTGGCCAACAAATAAGAAGATCCACATCTAATAGCACCTCCTGCTTAACACCTGAAAAAGATTCAACAACGTGGAATGAACATATAGTCCAGTAGGGATCTCAACATGGCCCTCAACAATAACAACTTACGGATAGTTATGATCATGAATGCTCCATCTCATACTAGAATAATAATGTGGCAGTTTATACAAAATATACATAAGTATGAACTTTTCTCGAAAATAGCCATTTCATTCAACGCTATGAGCGATTCATCTCTCTCTTCCTTTCACTACTCTTTGTTCCCAAACTTTCATAACATTAACAACTTCTTAAAAAGATCAATTATCTCTAAGCCCATTACCTTTTTCCCATTTTCCATACTTACAATAGATTTTCCCTTTTTCAAATAAACTTTCTGATACCCAGCTTTCTTTTACACTTTCCCAAAATCTCACAATGACATTTTGGTTTGTTTCCAATACATTCATAACTATACATGTATGCCTTCAATAGAAGGGAGATAACAAATCATCAACATGTATATAATCAACAAATGAGGCAACTCGGCCCTCCAAAACTATAACCATCACAATCCATGATATACTCAGATACACTGAGACAAAAACAATAAAACCCTGCTCTACCGGCTATATGCACAATAAGCCAAGGATACAACTCTCACAACGGTATACCATTTTACCAGGCGCTAGCTGGAAGGGCGTGGTACCTTAGATTCTCAGCGCAGTCAGTTCTCCAGGCGCTAGCTGGAAGGTAACGGTACCTCTGATTATAAGCGCAAGGTATAACACCAATAATCACAATACAACAGAGTATAACCAACAAGTGTAATACATACAGATAAACTATCAAAATACCTAAGCAATGTGTTAAAGTATATAAACACATAGGTATGTGTGGAGTACATCCCCTATCTCCTCCCACACACTGGAGTACATCCCCTATCTCCTCCCTAACAATTACACATATATAATGTACCATAGCACTTCATTACATAAAATGTTCAATTGACACAGATTTTATGCATATACAATAATTCAAAACAACAATGTCATCCTCCACCGATGACCAAGGACAAAACCTCTAGATGCTTGTATTCAGTACATCTATTAAAAGACTCAACTATCGTGAGATCTTAAACCCAACAACAACGCCAGACTGATAAGTAAAGGTAAAACCCCAAATGTGTGTATTCAATACTCAAGATACAATATTCCAATTCCCAAATTCATCTTCCATTTTCAAAATCGACTTGTTCCACCACTTGTTCCAAAAACATTTTTCCCATTTCACCAAACCAATATTATTCCTCTCATAACTTTCCAAATCAATTATGCAAATTAATTCATAACAGTAAATTAGGGCTTTTCTCCCTCTTTCTCAATATTGACCAAAAAGGCTCAAATACCAACAACAAACAACAATAACCACATTTGAGACTCAAAACATATGTATTGGCCCAAATAACAAAACCTCTCTTTTAAATTATCAAATCAAATATAAATTAGGGCTTTTTCTCCTTTCAATAATCATATACTAATTACACCCCAATTAGTCCAAACCACAATCAATGATAACAAACCCACTTTCAAACAACCAACCCTAGGTTTCCCCCTCATGATTTTCAAACAAACCCAACATAGATATGATTTTCATGCAATACAAAACTACCACATGTCTATCTATAGACGAAGTATTGAAAAAGAACAAGGAGAATCCCTATCTCAAATGGAGAACCCAAGGGGAAGAAGAGCCAAACTCGGAAGTGCTCCAATCGCAAAGTTTTTCAGATCAAAACGAAGCCCACACAACTCTATAACTTTCTTACAAATGGATGAGGGTAGAAACACCTAAGAACTAGGTCAATCCCTTGAGAGAAGTTGTATTTTAGAGAGAGAGATTCTCAATAATAGGGTTTTGAAAAGTAAGAGAGAGAGAGAGAGAGAGAGAGAGAGAGAGAGAGAGAGAGAGAGAGTGTAAAAAGTGATTTAAAATATCACAGTCCAGATCTGATATACGTATGACCCGCTCGAGCGGAGAAAATGACGCTCGAGCGTCAAACACAAAAACTGTACCCGCTCGAGCGCAAAAAGACCCGCTCGAGCTCCAAGACAAAAAAACAAGACACACCCGCTGGAGCGTAAAGAAGATCCGCTCGAGCGTAGATTACACTCATCCAGCATTTTTACAGAGTTCAAACACCCGCTCGAGCGCCAATACCCGCTGGAACACGACCCGCTCAAGCGTGACCCGCTCGAGCCTAAGGAAAATAGTTCGAGCGTGAAAAACACATCTGCAGTAGTTTTGCAGACGCATAAGATACTGAAAGTATGTAAACCCCGCTCGAGCGCAAAGGGACCCGCTCGAGCGGATCACCTAAAACCTAGACAACAACACTTGAGACCAAAGCTCAACCAACCTGTTCAAAACACGCCCAAAACATTTCTAAACTCAAATATCAAGAGTTGAAGGATGGAAATGCAACACGGACAACAACCATCAACTACAAAACTGAGTCCGGGATACTGTTAAACAAAAAAAAAAAGAAAACCGGGATCGCTATAGCCATTCTCCTTAATCAAACCCATACCCTTTTTCCCAAAACTGAATTCACTGTTGGGTATACCTCCTTATTGGAGTATGGGACCCAATTGGTTTATTAAAAGAATTTAATTTGGTTCGGTGTTGGTTATAATATATTTTTAATATTATATTTAACTTTTGGAGGCCTAATGGATATTTAATAATCTGTACGGCAACAAGTAGGGCTTGGATTAAAAGCCCAAGAAATATTGTTTAATTGGTATGAGGTATAGTGGCTACGAGAGACAAAGTTTCGGTGGGTTTTTGGCTGCCAAGTAGTGATTCATATTTACTTCATGAGATGGTGCTTCCTAGGTAATCCAATATCAAGCTTCTTGTGTGATTCTTGGGCATTCAAGGGCTTCATTTGTTTGCTGAGTATTTTGACAGACATTGTGAAGTTTGATTTGAGTTTTCTTCAACTCTGTTTCAATGAATTTTGTTCATCTATTTGGTGAGGTCTTTACTCTTATTTGTTTGTGATTATTTGAAATTTACCTAAGGGTGGTTTTGTAAGACCATTCGTGCCTCGTTTGTAATTGTTTGGAAACTTTTTGGTTAATAGTGGAATAAGATTTTGATCCCGTGAACATATACCTCACATTGAGGGAACCACGTAAAAATTCTTGTGGTGTTATTGATTTAGTTTTTCTGCATTAGTTTTTATTCCCATTGATTGATTTACTGGTGAGAAATCATTAATTTTTTCTAACAACTGGTATCAGAGCTTACGGTTTATTTGGATTTATTTATTAGTTTAAATCAATGAAGGGGAGTGTGGGTTGTATATCTAGCTTCAATGGAAGCAATTGGGTAACTTGGAAAACTAAAATAGATGACCTATTATTTTGTAAAGATTTGTATAGACCCATTGAGGGTGATAATGGCAAACCCAAAGGTATGAAAGATGATGAATGGAAAAGGCTTAATCGAAAAGCCGTTGGTATTATCCGTCAATGGATTGATGACAGTGTGTTTCATCATGTTGTTAATGAAACTTCGGCACATGATTTATGGAAAAAAAATTAGGTCTTTATGATAGAAAATCAACCACAAATAAAGCCTTTCTGTTTCGAAAGTTAGTTAATTTAAAATATAAAGATGACAGCCCTATTTTAGAACATTTGAATGAAATAAAGAGTATTGTTAACCAACTTACTTCTATGAAAATTATTTTTGATGATGAGTTGCAGGCTTTGATGCTACTTAGTTCTTTGCCCTGAAAGTTGGGAGACTTTGGTTGTGACAGTTAGTAATTTGGCGCCCGATGGAATTGTCACAATAAACAAAGTCACTAGTAGCTTGTTGAATGAAGAAATTAGAAGAAAATCAACGGGTTCCTCTCATTTGGAAGCATTTGTTGTAAGAGGCCGAAACAAAACAAGGGGGAGGAGTAAGACTCCTTATGGTTGTGATCAAAGCCACGACAAATCAAGAGATGGTTCTTTTTCAAAGAAAGACATTGAGTGCCATTATTGTCATGAGAAAGGGCATATGAAGCGGGAATGCTGAAAGCTCAAGAACAAGGAGAAAAGGCATGGCGAAAGTGTGGATAAGAAGTAGGAAGACACAATGGCAGTTACTATCGATGATCTCATGGTTGTTTGTGAATATGATTGTAGCAATTTTGTGGACGAAGACAGCAATTGGGTGATTGATTCTGGTGCTTCTTTTCATGTGACTTCTTGAGTTGATTTCTTCACTACCTACACCAAAAGAGATTATGGTTGTATTTGAATGGGTGGTGAAGGTTTGTCCAAGATTATTGGCATGGGTAGTGTTTGTTTGGAAACAAATTTGGGCTACAAGTTGTTACTTAAAGATGTCAGGCATGTTCTTGACATCCGCCTCAATTTGATCTCTACTGGGAAGCTAGATGATGAAGGCTACAACAACAAATTTGGTGATGGAATATGGAAGCTCACAAAGGGTTCTTTGGTGGTGGCTAAGTGCAAGAAGACCCACACATTTTATTCGATACAAGGAAAAATTTGTAAAGGTGTTGTCAATGCACTTGAAGACGATACTTCTACCGAATTGTGGCACAAATGGCTTAGGCAGATGAGTGAAAAAGGGCCATAAGTCTTGTTCAAGAAAGAGCTTCTACTTAGTTTGAAAGGTACACATCTTAAAATTTGTGTTCATTGCTTGGCGGGTAAACAACATAGTTTCTTTTCATAAAAATGTTGCTTCTAGAAAAGAAAAT